GTCAGGACTTACTCAGTGAGATACACCCAGAATGCATCTCATTCTGGGTGCATCTGAGTAAGGACTTCTGGAAATCTTTTCAGCTACCTACCTCAGATTTCTTGTAACATGAAAGAAAATATAATTTGTACTAATCACCCTTCAGCTGTATTTGAACACAATTTTAAGCCTTACAGGTTCCATAACTATCACAAGCAAACATTGTATATATCACTTTTGTACATAAAAATAATCTCAGCTAATTAATTAAAATATCTAATTTGGGTTAAAGTGAAAATCTAATTTTAAAATTCATTTATACTTCCAATAATAGCTCAGGACTGCTCCAGGTTGAGAAATTCCCAGGATCTCTGTGTGAGGAGTGTGGTAAGCTCACTCTCTGAATTCTTCCTCCTGATCACATCTTGATGGCACTTGCCAGTTCACAGGTGGAGATTTCAGCAATGGCACTGTGAGAAAGCTGGTAACGGACACCCTTTCTCGCTATGATTGTGTGTTGGTACACTCTGGCATTTGTGGATGTGCATGGCTGACTTACTCCTCTCTTGGGGTAGGTGCCACCCGGCATTGTTTGGGGGTTTCCAGAACATCTCACTATAATGCCACACTTCTGGCTGACACTTACACCCTACACTTCAGTTCCCATCTGATAGTGTGTGTCTACCCTCTTTCTGCTGAACTGGCTTTGCCCATGGCAGCGTGCCCTATTGGATGGAGTCCCAAACCAGCTCTATCAGGTACGGCTCACCTCTGCTTTGATTTGTGTGTAAGCTTGTGCCCAGTGAAGCCACCTTTCATTGCTCAGCCATCAGACAGGCATAGCCTCCACACTTTATTGTTAGTTTCCAGAAGCATGTGTCAAAATCCAAATAAATAAAAGTAATCTACATTTGACAAAATAGTAGTGGATTAGCTAGTCCCTTTACCACTCAGATTCCAGGGGAAATAAAATATAAGCAAACCAAGCAATCATCTCAAGAACATTTATACTAAGATTAAGGAGAAGGGTAAGCACATTATTATCTATGAAAACAGGAAAAGCACAATATTCCATACTTCTCCCAAAGAAATTTTTGTTTGTTCTCTTCAATCTGGATAAATTTATAGCCTCAAGATAGATTTATAGCTAATAGTGAAGACATATACTTTCAGACAACTCTCAAATTCATATGTAGCTTAGCACCTCACTCTTAGAACATGAAGATATCTTATACCTTCTGTGTTTGTGTATTTTTTCCTCAATGTTAGGATGGCTCTATATTTTGTTTACCACTTACCTATGCAAGACTCATTTTCACTTTTTCTTACTTTGCTTCCCCAAATCTTTAATATACCTATTAAATCATAACTTATTTAATAACTATTAAACCCTTAAGACACCTATTAAATCATAACTATTCAATGCTCAAGACACCTATTCTTTGCATATAAGTCTTCTACTTTACCAACAGAAAAGTGGTTATCCAGTGTGACTTCCAATTTCATCTATCTGCAAGTTTAATTATCTTTATTCATATTTACTATCCATTCTGTCTCAAGTGAAAGATACCGCCACCTTTTCAAACATAAATTCATCACTCTAATATCAGTGTATGTGTTTTCTGGAACTATCCTTCAACATCCAGGTGCATGTGTTTTTCTTAGTTTTACATTTATTAATAGTTTTCTTCCTTTCTGTCTATAAGCATGTTTACATGTCCTCCATTCTGAGAAAAAGAAAAGGTCTATAGCAGTACTCCATTTTTCTTTTTCACTGTCCTACCAAATTTCCTGAGCATATTAATTTCTTGCCAATTACTCACTTTCCAAAAACTCTTTAACACCATAGTCTTTATTGCATTCCAATATATTCTGATGAATGTTTTTGTAAAAGCAAACAAATGATTCGTAACACCCAAATACATTTCAAATTCTTTGATTCTCTAAAAATTTCACATTTCTTTTTGATTCTCTTTATCACTTCTTTGAACCTGGTTTTCTGATATTTCTTTCTTTCTTTCTAAGTTAAACCCTCTATAGATAAAGGCGAGAAATCTGCACTTTTAGCAAATTCCATATCAATGACAATTAGAGAACTACTGGTTTAGTAGCTAAAGATACTCAAAACGAGTTGGTTAATCAAGCATGATCTACCAAGCAGGGAGGGAATAAAGGAAAAAAAAAATACTACTTTAACAGTCATTTGAAAACATTCATTATTTTCTCTTTTTCATGATCTAATCATAAACTAAATATCAAGGTTGAATTAAGAGGGAGGTGGCACATATTACAGTATTTAAAGCTTCATAATAGATTAGAGCAGCTTTATAATTAAAGTTACCAGGACAGCCAGAGGGAGACACAATACACCATAATTGGAAATGTGTCACTAGAAAAATGTGTTTATTATAACCTTGATCCTATTTTCTTTGAACAAACTGTCTAGAGACCTTCATTAACTCAGCAGATCCCCTTGTCTGTACTGGTTGGTGAACAATAAGTCCACTTATTTAATTCACCTCCATCTTTCAGGAGGCACCATTGGAGGAGGTTGAACTGTTTTGTTGAAAAGCTTTTTCCTATGAATTGTTCATTAACACTTGCCGATTTTCTGCCTTGTGCAGGCTGAAATAAATGCGAATAACAATGTTAAACGGTTGTTTCTTTTTTGACTTGAGATTGCTTAAGAATAATCCAACAATGTTAGCAGAATAATGACCATATTGAGCAGTGTGTGAGGCATAGGTATAGCAAAAAAATAGAAAAAAAATGTTCACTTAGGAAATACATATTGAATATGTAATGGCTGAAATTACCAGTGGGAAAAAGCTGGATTCACGGACAGATGTCCTAAAGTGAAATTCCGCCACAATCTCATGTTATCTATACAAGTCTTGGACAAGAACCCTAGAACTTTATGAGTTTCCTCATTAATAAAATAAGAATGAACAGATGTCTAATGGGCCTATTTCATAGGATTCTGTAACAGCCCAAAAGCATATCACTCACCAGAATCATAACATGTTTTTATATACTCACAAAACAAAACAAAACGACTTAAGTGCAAAATCTCTTTTGCTATAAACGAGGTTAGTTTTATGGCAAAAGCAACTAATTTTTTTTTTTTTAACAGGGGTTTCACTTTCAGCACTTTCTAAATTTGGTTGGTGGAGCATGAATAGAACGTCAATAAATAAATAAAAGGATAATAGTACAATATAAGCATGAATAAAATGTCAAATACTGAAATTGAAAAAAGACATTGGTTGAAATAGTTTTGAGTCAAACATATAAACAAATGTAAGCTAAGCATGAAGCAATGAAATAAGTTATGATTTAATGTTTAATCATCAGACTATAACAGTAAGAATTAAAAATTTAATGTTCAAATACATAAAACCAGTTTTTGTGCAGACATAATAAAGCTTATCATAGAATTTATAATCATTCCACTAAAAATAAGGGGGAAAAAGCCTTTCAGTTGTTCATTTCCTTTAAAAAAAAGAAAAACAACTGAATTCTAGAAACTACTGGGGAATTTCTTTAGTAGATATTTCAGAAAACAACCAGTTCAATTTACATGTTTTTCATAGATTTACATCTATTATATATTCCTACAGGTATTTTATATTGATAACCTTGATACTAAAAATATATTGCTAGTGTACATCTAAATTGATAAAACTAACTTGGAAATAATATTTTTGTAAAGTTGACTTTGCAAATACCTACAGTCTAATAATTCCACTATTGGCCCTACAGATATCCTTGCACTAGGTACCAGGAAACTTGTTCAAGCAAATTTAGTAGCACCAAATAATAATTTACCAACAGAGAATAAATGATATTTGAGATATATCCTCATAAAATAATATTTAACTATGACTACAATAAATTAAATCTAAGTACAAACCACAAGATAAATCATTCTATAAAATAAAAGGCTAATATGCAAATAGACTGAACAGAGGAACAACAAATTGCTATGATGCACACTGACCACCAGGGGGCAGACGCTCAATACAGGAGCTGCCCCATAGTGGTCAGTGTGCTTCCATAGGGGAATCGCCATTCAGGCAGAAGCTAGGCTTATGCTGATGAGCCCAGAGGCAGTGGTAGAAGTCTTTCCTGCTTCTGAGGCAGAGCTAAGAACCCCTTGGTGGGCCTAAACCTGCAGAATGATATCCCCTGAGGGCTGGTGGACTGCCCAAATTTTGTGCACTGGGCCTCTAGTACAAACATAATGGAAGAAAGTTGCTGAGAACTACATACAGTATAATGTGATTTTAATAAAGCTAAAAAGAAAGCAAACTAGCAAATATGACGTTTAACAAAACATGTATGTGAAGCACAACTACTTTTTAAAATAAAGAAATAAGTAATCAAATAACTAGAGTGTTGGCCACCCCTGGCAGGGAGGCAAGGTAAGGGAACAGGAAAGTTCTAAGAAGGCAGCGTTAAGGGTGCTGGCAATATTTGTGGGTTTTATGTCGTACAATATATTTAAACATTATCATTATGCATCGTGACTTACATATGTATAAATACATCCATGTACGAATTAAACATACTATTCCTATGTATTAAAATCACCTAACAAATTAATAATTAGAAGTAAGCTGATCATGTTGGATACACAATGAAACCATAATATCTCACCTTTTTAAAAAAATATATATTTTATTGATTTTTTTGCAGAGAGGAAGGGAGAGAGATAGAGAGCTAGAAATATCGATGAGAGAGAAACATCGACCAGCTGCCTCCTGCACACCCCCCACCGGGGATGTGCCCGCAACCAATGTACATACTCTTGACTGGAATCGAACCCGGGACCTTTCAGTCCGCAGACTGACACTCTACCACTGAGCCAAATCGGCTTTGGCAATATCTCACCTTTCATGCACACATTAGATGAACAGTTTCCGTGGTAAAGAAAGCATACTAAAGAAAGCCCCAACAAAAGCATGAAAAATAAAAAGTAATGGATAATAACAAAATGAGCGGACCCAATTTAAACTCACCACCAGGGCTTTAGATCTGTTGCTTAGAAGTTTTTCAATATCCCTGGCTGCGATTTCCACCAGCTGGCGTGCATTATTTGGTTCCACAGTATACAAATCTTGGTATTTCTCATAAATCTACATGAAAAGCAAAAGAAATTTTTAAGAATAATAATTGCTTATTTGGCTCATAAGTTCACATAAGAATGTATTTAAAATCATAAACAATTGATTAGAAAAGTCCACCCTTTTCTTCCTTCTCCTGGATCTTTCCAGGGTTTAGGTGTGTCAAAAATATGTACATAAATATTAGCTTCCTATAAGACCACCAGCTCACCAAAATAGTTATGTCAACAGGCCGTAAAACATGTTGAACAACAATGCTTTGTATATGCAATTGTGTGACTTGAAATTGTACTTTCAACCTCAAAAGTTGGTATTAACTGCCATCAGCATTTTAAACACAGGAGGACTGAAGTATCGGAGGTCAAACCTGGAGGATATGTGCAGTGAACAAAGGTAGGAGGAGGGGGAAGAGCTAATGTATGGAGAGAGACTTCCCACTGTTCTCCCTCACTGCAATCACTGAGGCTAACGGATTTGCTGCCAAACCTTATGAAAAGGGAGGGAGAGAATTAATGAATGAATATGAAGCTCCTGCTAAGGAAGGTTCATCCAGGTGACACAGGGAGCTTCATTTCACAGAGTAGCAGTTAAAAGTCATCAAGGTCAACATTAAAGATTAGTTAAAATGGAATTGTGTAAATATTTTTATTATCAGATTGACTGTTTTCTTTTATCTTTAAGTCGTTGAATCAAACTATACTGAAAGTAAGCTAGGCAGCATAAGGAAACTCAGCTGCATTTCTGGCTCACGTCAGTATCCATGGAAAGAGTTCCCTAGCATGGCATCAGATGCACTTGGTACGCAGAGCCTGGACACTACCGGCAAGAGAGGAAGAATGAAAAAAAAAAGGGGGGTGGGGAGAGGACCAGCAGCCCTTTCTGTGGCTGGAGGGCTGAGCAGAGAAGGAAATCCCTTATGCACCCAACAGATGGGGTGCACATGCATGACTAAACCATGTTTAAAAGCCAAGACCTGGCAGTTTTATGAGAAGAGAATCCAGGCACATGCAGGAACCAGTTCATCCCTATTTTCCTAACACAACCTCAGCATTCTGTTACTACCAACAGGTCCCACAGTCCAGTCCCAGCTGAGCATGGATGCTACTGGTGAATGCTGGTTTCAAATGAACATAGACACATATCTAACATATATATACATGTTCGACCAAGGTTAGCTTTTGCTGCTAGGATCTGGACAATATGGTTTAGATTGGCGGGACAAGCCTGAAGCTCTCCCGTGTCCCCTCCCTGGCCAGCCACCCCCATTGGCCCTGATTGGGAATGGACAAGATGGTCCCAATCGCCAGCCAGGCTGAGGGACCCCAACCATGCACAAATTCATGCACCAGGCATCTATTAATAGATTATTTATAATAGAGTATGTTAGTTTACATAGAATTAATTTTTTGTTCAATGATAAAAATTAATAATTTTAAAAGATTTAAATCAAAATTTTAATCCTATTGATAAATTCATTTGATTTATTCAAACTATGAGGTGTTTCCATACTAGTCTGAATTTGACCTTGTAGGTTTTCATTTCACCTATTCAAACCACAGTAACTTAGCATATACAATCTCCATATTTAGAGTCATCAGGATTCCTGCATATTACTGGACTGTTTTTGTTTTCTTCTGCAGGGCAGATAATTGAGCTCTGTTTTAAAGACCCAGGTTATCCATGATAAAATCCATCCAACTCAAGGCTCCCTCTTTTATTTTGGCCTAACATGACATCCAAGAACATGACCTCCTGAATAGATTAATTGATCAGGGTACAAAAAGATAAACCTCAACATCACTTTAATTGATCCAGGATATTTAGTTCTTTGCAGCAAAACCAATATAGCTAATTGGTATAAAGGCAGCTGTGCTTTGAACCATTAATGTTTTGTTCCTTTCTGTATGAAGTCTGATCTCCTTCCTGTGGTATAGGGACTGCATTATAATTCAGAGTTGGTGAAGTTCAGGATGCATAGTCTTTACTTCACATTATGTACTATAAATAAAGACATTTATAAATTCACTACCTACACATATTAGAAACGTTATAAGTACTTTAAAGAATGAGAGGATTGCCCTCAGTGCAGGAGGAGGGGAGCCCAATGATGAGAATGAGGGATGAGAGCAGAGGTCCCACTGGAGGATGATGGTGAAAACCAGCAGAGGTGAGGGGCCCTCAGCAGGATGAGGAGGAGATGGACCAAGTTCTTAGAGGCAATCACATTCAAGAGCAAACACATGAGACATTCCTTCACATGAGTTTCCCCTTGTGCCCAGATGCCGAGAAGCAAAGTCAAGAACATGAGAACATACTGAAAGGGAGTTTGAATTTGAAATTGACTAAATCTATATAATTGACCACAAAAGCCCTTTTTGAACCGAAAAACAGGGAACCTTGAAATGTTAAGATTAATATTTTCCTCCCCGAGAAAGAATGGTGGCTCATGAGTAAGTTAAGTTCCCTAGACGCATTTCTGCGATTACAGTCTACGTATGTAAACTTGGTAACTCCTTCCCTCAATACTTGTACATTTGCTGTCCTTCCACTGAACTTGTCCTGCAAAAGCAATCAAGATCTCGGCCCTACCCACAGCCATCTTTCTGAGGAAAGGTTCTCCTGTGACAGCCCCCTATGAAAGAGGAGCCCTAGAGTTTCCTTGTAAGTGGGTAGGTAGCATTATTCAAATGCATGATCTTGACTTTGGTTCTTGCTTAATTGTACTCTTGCCTCAAATTCTTGTCCTTCTTAAGTTTTCCGCCTCAGCAATACTGACATTTTTTTCCAGATGATTCTTTGTTGTGGGCAATGCCCGATGCAGTATAGGATGTTTAGCAGCATCTTTGGCGCCAACACATGCATACCAGTAACACTCACCCCCCACGCCTCACCCCACCTCTACCCCTGGTTGTGACAATAATAAATGTTTCAAATGTCTCTCGGGGAACAAAATTACCCCTGGCTGAGAATCACTGCACTCTATATAGAGACATTAAAGGTGTCTTCGGCGGAGAAATATAAGAAGCTATATGTTGTATATTGAGAGTGTGCATTAGCAAATAATGATCCTGCATGCCATTCATCTTCATTGTAAAGAAGCAGCTAACCCTTGTATACATCACTTCCATAATGTTTTTAGCTTTTCCCATCCTTTGTGAATCTCATAGACAAGAAGAGAGCACAGCCACTCTCACTCTCCCTGTAATCAGAATTACTAAGCCATTAGATTGCTACTTGAAGAAACAATAAATAAGAACTCGCTCAAATACCAGTGTAACTTAAAAAAAAAAAAGTGTTATTGATTGATAATAGAACAGAACGGTATGGTAAAAATAAATCATTTTAATAGTCTTTCACTATTAATGTTTTTGAACCGATACTACTACACTTAAAAACCTGTTAATAAATATTGAAAGTTATCACAAGATTAGAAACCCCTTTAGAATTCATTTTATTTCGTGTCTTTGAAAACAGATGTAATTAACTTTTAAAGAAACAAAGCACTGTTTAAAAGAAACAAAGCACACATACACAAAAATAATAGAGTCCATATTCTCTTTACAGAAATACATTCTGCAGTCAAAATAGATTCCTCTCCATTTAGGGAGGGAGGGTAATGTATTTTTCCCTAAGACAACAATAATCTCAATTTGCCTGTTATTACAGTAACTAGTCACAACATTTCCTAGTTGGAGGTGTAAGACAACTCTGAACAAAAACAAAACATGAAATAAGTAAGCTATATTTGAAAAGTAATACTATTATTTTTATAAAGTACTTACATTACTTTTATGTCCCTTTTACCCTTACAAGGTTTCTGTGAGGAAGGATGAGTGTTATTATATTACTTGACAAGCAGGCAAAGGGAAATCTACTATCACCAGCTACTTAGCATCATTCACAGGGAGAGAAAAAAGATTCCCATCCTTACTGTTGGCATCTTGGTAAATCCCTACTCAGAATCACCAATGATTAATTATATTGTGCTTCAGAGTATCTTCTTTTGCCAATAAAATAATATATTAAACTCTCTACCACCTAGAAAATTAACATTCTATTTACATAAGATCATGTGACCACAAAGAAAAAGCACTGGACTGTGAACCCCTTGAGTAACTAATGAAATTCTTCACTCGAAATCCTTGTGTAAATACTAAGTTAATGAAGAGAGCTGAATGCTCAATATTTAGACACGTTTCATATTTATGTCTTTGAGAGAATATTGGGAGCACTCAGTCAGTAAGATATCCCCTGAGGGCACAGGCCAGGCTGAGGGACCCACCAGCCCCGAGGGCATAAATTTTCGGGCACCAGGCCTCTAGTATAATACAATTCTCTTGACTAATACAACAGGGGAATGATCTTTCTTGAGTTCTGGTTATAGGTCAATAAATATCATAGATGGATATGTCATCAATCTCAACAACTCCATGAGATGAAACATCTCGGCAGATCACCAACCTATCAACTGGAAGAAAATAAGTGTATTTTCTTCAGGTGGAAGACCATAAAAACAAAATCAAGAAAAACTATTTTCTGTACCACCCTTAGCAATCCTTTTAATAGATATACACACAAAAACCATGCCTGTACATACCAACAATAATGGAAGATTTTACATTCTGCATGTTAATTTAGATTTTACAATATATCTCTATACTTTAAAAAAAATAAATTCAAATAGAAATGTTCATGAGTGGGTAATTGCTAGCCGAATTTTGGCTTCTTCTAATTTATATCTCTTAGTAAACAAGCAGTAGCATAACCATGATAACCTCGTACCTAATCAGGGATCTGCTTGCCTTTTCAATATACAAGAAGCAAAATTAAAAGGTAAAATATTATAGTCTAACAAAAGAATGTCAAAGTCAAAGGCTAATATGGGCCAAAGAAACAAGGCTTGTGGCCCATAGGCTGCAAGTTTGACATGTTTGGTATAAAGCATAACAATATATATATATACACACACACATATTTTTTATATACACACACACATATATATATATATACACACACACATATTTTTTAATTTTGGAGTTACAGCCAATTTAGTAGTTGTGTGTCCAAGAACCAAAATTTAACATTGCAATTGCTTCATGCATATGCAAGATGAGATGATGATGTTCACTTTATAAGGTTGTCTTGAGAATTAATAAGATGCCACATGCAAAGGGCTTAGTGCAGTTCTTGAACTAATAAAAAACAAATGAAGCCCTTCAGTTGTATTTGAAAGGTTCTAATATATTAAATTCACTGAGCAAAATTATAATACATTACTATCTCTTTTCCCTAATTTTATTTCTTCTCTTCCCTCAATTATTTCATGTACTTTGTGGCTGAGCATACTCAATTAATGGACATGTTATCTTCTAATAAATGAATAGATAATGGAATAATTCATTAAGACATAGCACTATTTAAGCTAATTCATGTCATATCTTTAACTGAAGTTAGGCAAATAACTTTAATTTTCACTAAATTTTAAAAATGTCTTATTTTCACTAAGTTGCCTCATTACAGCTGCAAATGAGTATTCAAGTAAAATGCTAGTTCTATCTTGCAAATCCAGTAAAAATAATTACATTACATACTTTTAGAAGAATCATCATTTCCATAATATTGAATTTCAATCCATGAACCTGTTAAATCCCTCCATTTACTCAACTTTTGGCCCTCGCCTTGTATCCAATACGCCCAATCTCAGCTCAGGGTACACTATCCACTATAGCATCCTTCAGCCAGTCTCTGCTTTAAATTTCCACAGCCAAAAGCCCGCACATGAACCTTCTCTGTAGGCAAAGCTCAGAGGCATATGGATCACCTACCTATGCAAAATAATGCTCTTTTAGTGACCCAATACTCAAATTATTTTTCCAATAATGGATTCTGTTCTATCTCCCCCCCCCCATTTGTTACATATAATAAAACAAATTATTTAACTCTATTTTTTCTGTCACTATAGTTACGTATGTGCCTCAGAAACATAAAAAGTCTGGGGATTTTCTTCCATCCTCTCCATTCTATTTTGTTACCCATATTCAGACAAAGCCATTTATTCATTTAACCATTGTACACTCTTCTTAGTCAGCTACACTTCACAAAAGCATAGTGGAAATCGGGTGAGAATTTTTGTTGCATAATGATTCCCTGCAAAAGCAGATTCTGTGAGTGGAAGGTTCACATATTTACGCGAAAAGTAAAAAAATGAGGTCAGCCAAGAAAGTGGTTTCTGATGCTGCAGAAACTCTGGAGGAGTGAAGGAGAGCTCCCAAGAGCAGTTATTTTTAATCTCAATCTGTCAATAAAAAGATTCATGTAGCTTCTAACCAGAACCTGTTAATTCTCATCTCTTTTTTTCTCATCCCACAAACTCCATGTTTGGTATAAAGCATAACTTAATGAAGGCTCACATATTACCTTGCACACACTCATATTCTTATATGTTTCCCCACAATATCACTGCAGGTCACCAGCACCAGAGCTTCCAGGCATATTCAGGCCCACATAGTGGCTTAGCAGTCAGTCCTCTAGGGAAAGAAACTATTCCCCCTCAAGCTTTGCAGCCTGCACAGTACCTGGGACACACGTGTTGACTAAACTACATTTGATCATTGTTATTCACAAGGAACATTTTTCATCCCAAATATCTTCATCTCACAGACATTTAAGTTTGTTCAACATAGTCTTAGATTGAAACCTCTGATTGTTTTGTACACAGTTTCTTTTGAATAATTTTTTAAGTATCTGCTTAATAAGGTTCTTTTATGAATTTCTATTAATATATATGGTAACCAACCATACATTCTATTTTCTCTGGAGAGTAGTATTCACACACAAATATCCATATAATAACTATTCATGTATCATACATATGAATCTGCTTCTATACATTTCATCTCATTTTTGGAAAATAAAAGGCCTCATTGCATCACTAAGATCACAACACGAAAGTACTTTCAAATTGTTACATTACTTACATTGAAATGCAAGTGAGACACTCAAGAAATAACATTTAATGTTTAATAAATGTTATAACACCTATAAGTTTTCTTACCTAAGTCAAATAATCTTTTAAAGATGATAAATATTTATATAATAGTATTATCTTCAACAATTATTTAATAGTGACTTTCATAAATCCTAAGAAAAACCCTATTTTACAATGACTCTTTTTCTTAGACCAAAATCTTTGCTACCCACATCAATGACTCACTTAGTCTCCAGGTATAGCTGTAAACACTTTTCAACTCTCTTTAAAAATAAAATCTATTTTATTTTTATAAGGCAGCCATCTTTTTTCCAAATAAAAAATGAAGAAGTGTTGCCACTGAGGACATTCAAAGGAATTCATCACAGTACTTTAAGTCACCACAATGTGAGAGATTATACAATACAGTTTGAAGAATAGAAAGGTGACATCCCAATTTAAACTCTAGGGGAGTCTACATAACACATGGATTCATGTAAGTGAGGGCTGTGTGTAAACTGTGAAGTGTGTGTGGTGAGAAAGCTTTGTTAATTGTTAGGAATGATGTTTCTCACAATACCAAGGGTCTCTTCCAGAATTTCATTACCAGATCCACACACACACAAAACATCTTATTTATAATACAGAAAAACAGCTTCCTCGAAGTTAGGACTGCATTCAAATTAAAGAAAAGAGTAAGTTTATTTGGGTTCTACTCACATCCACAAGCTGGTTGACACCACTTGCTGTTTTTGCCAGTGTGACAAGATCTTCTTGCATCTTATCCACCCATGACTTGATACTGCAGACATTAGAGAAGAAAACATTTGATCATATCTCTGGCAAATTAGGGCCACAGACAGCCATTTTACAGTCATGATGCAGACAATTCATTAAATTCCTTTAAATCTTTCTTCTCCCTCCCCACTCTCACTATGTCCACCCTCTCATCCCATCTACAAATTTTAAAGCTAATGAGACTTCACTGTGAAGCCTCTTAGAATGCTGAAATACCCCCAGATAAGAGAAAAATGACATGATTGCCATGTCCAATGAGGATAAATTTGCTTATTTTTTATGAAAATTCCACTTAAAATTAGTAAATAGAATATTCTAAACTAAGCCTTATTCTTTAGCTTACAAGTCTTCTGGATATATACTAAGGGTGTGCTAAGTGGAGAACATTCTTTTAAATGCAAGAAAATGAGAAATATTTTAAATGTCTCCTAATTTAATTACCTAGCGATAACCACTGCTAACACTTCATGTATTCCCATTTAGGTTTTTTTTTTAATTACCTCACATGGTTGAAAGCATGCTATGTAAACTTTATGTATCTTTTCTTTTCCTAAGGTCATATGATAAATAGTCCTATGCCATTATAAGTATCTTATTTATCCAATTTCTTTAATTTTATTAAGACTAAATGTTTTATAAAGTGCTATTTTATAAAGGAAAGTGAACTTTGTATTTCATAAGTGCTGGGATCATCGGTATTTAACCATATTAATCTTCTTTTCTTCAGATAAGTTTCAATACTACTATAAGGCAGCCATCTTTTTTCCAAATAAACTTAAGTGTAAGGGAACAAGAAATTAAACATGGAAAGAAGTATAACATGAAAAAGGGATTTAAATGGGGTGTAGGAGAACACATAAAAGAATAATGAGCTAATAAACTAAAGGGGAAGAAGCAAAACCTGAAAGTCAGTCATAAAAAGAATGAAATGCCTTAGAAGAAAACACAGAGGTTTGATTTACACATGCAACAAATAAGTCAGCCAATTAAATACATAAATGCTAGGGATACTTTCACACGAATGATAATAAGAAAGAATATTTATTGAACCATGCTGTATGAAATTGATACAAAGAAGATAAATCAATATCAAGAAACAAAAAGTAAATAAATGGGAGGAGGATACAAAGTGAAGAGAAATTTATAGATTCATTAAAATCAATGATGCATAACCACATTATTCTAACATTAGGCTTTGTGCTGCTTATGAGCTGGTACATATATTTGAAACATATTATAAATACTAACTAATATTCTTATTACTACTATTAGAAAAATATAATTGTTCCCATGTTTACATTTAAAACAATAGGTTACAGTAGGAAACTGGTAGGAGCAAAGGCGATTGACACCATTTTCTAATTCAGGTCAGACTACCTCTTTTCTCCAAGTAGTTCTTAAACAAGTCCTAAAACCCAAGAAAAATGAATCATCTCTTCTCAAGCATAATTCCCAACAATGACAAATAATAAAAAAAACTGTTATACATTTATATCTTATATATCCCTTTAGCTGGGGAGCCAAGAGACAAATAGTATATATGTAAAAATATGAACTTAAGTCATGCCTGAATTTGATTTATGCTAAATGGTCTAAACCTTTCATTCTAACTTGACATCTGAGTGTGCTGTCACTGCCACTGTTCATTGGGGTGAATCTGTTTTGGCTGAAAAGTTATTCAGGACTCTCCCATCTTCTCTGCCCCACTGACAAGCTATCAAGAACACTTTATGGGAGCAGGGATTATTTCTCATGGATATGACATGTTGCCTGGTTTTCCTAAAAGACATAAGGACTCTGCCTCCCAAACCTGGAGTTCGAAGAATATAATGACCAGGAAATAGGCAAAGATCCATTCAGCATAAAAGTCAAAGATGACACAAGGAGAAAAACGCATATGTGCAGATTATCAGTCTTTCTATTTCTAGGTAAATTGTCAAGCACGTATTTGCAATCACTGAGCACTATTTTATTGACTATCTCCAGAAAAATATTGTAAAATTTTGGAGAAAATTAGAAGGGATGCATAGCTTTTTCATGAAATAAGAAATCAACAGGGCACTCTAGAGGGAGTCTTACATGACATGGGAGCCTTCCTAAGGAAATAAAAACCCAAAGAGATGGTTAAACCTGAGTGTTCTTATGCTAGATTTGATAAAGAATGGAAAGATATGACAGGTCAAAGAGTATGGGCTGTGCAAGGGAAACGTAGCAAAGCCTGTTCACACCTGTTCCTTTCTCCGTCCATGGTTTTTGAAGATGAGGACACAGCTTACCCTCCAGGTATGGATGGTTCAGAGCGGGGGTTGGAGGGGGACAGAGGAAGATGGGAGGAGGGGGAAGAGAAGGGGAGGCACGTAACTCTCATATGAGGGAAGGTCAGCAAGTCTGACAAAAATTAAAGTTTAAAAAACTTAACCTACCTAGATTTCTACCCTCTTATTTACTTCAGCCTGCCCATGAAATTAATTCTCTACCTTCATTATGAATAAATTCCACAACTACTCAGATAGCACCTTTCTTAAACTGCAAAACTAAAAAAGATTCTCTTCTATCCACTAAACTCCACAGCACTTTAATTGGCTTTATGCTTATTTTCCTGTATACTTTCATCATAAGATGGATATACATTTATACTTATTTGTCACTGACTCCTCAATATTTTTATTAAGTGTCTTGCATATAGTAGGCAGATGAATAGTTATTGAATAAACAGAAAATATATTGAAATAAAATTGCATTATTGATTTTTGAAGCACAATTATATTTATTTTAGTTTAGTACAGGATTCATTTACTAATACCCTCCTCTCCCTATAATCCACCCAGAAAGAAAGAAAGAAAGAAAGAAAGAAAGAAAGAAAGAAAGAAAGAAAGAAAGAAAGAAAGAAAGAAAGAAAGAAAGAAAGAAAGAAAGAAAGAAAGAAAGAAAGAAAGAAAGAAAGAGGGAGGAAAGGAGGGAGGGAGGGAGGGAGGGAGGGAGGGAGGGAGGGAGGAGGGAGGGAGGGAGGGAGGGAGGGAGGGAGGGAGGGAAGGGAGGGAGGAAGGGAAGGGAGGGAGGGAAGGAAGGAAGAAAGAAAGACTAAAGAACTGCTGGACCCATGCATCTGTTAACAGCCCCTATTTTTCAACAAGTAGCAGATTTTCAAAATGCAACTTAATACTTTACAGGAATTAGCAAACCTGTATAGTGTATAACCAAAAATGTCAGGTGTGTATTGAATGTCATAGGAAAAAATTATCTTGTATTCTCTCTCTGCCCTTACAATGACTCATTAGAGTGGACTAGCAGAATGCTTCCCACTGTTTGAAGATGTCTACTGACTCAAGGTATTTTGGAGAATTCACTGAGATCTTTAAATATTGAAGCAAAATTTTATTGAATAATGATCATCTTTTATATCATCTGCTTCACCTTATGATACAGAAAGAGCACGAATTTAAAAGCAAAAATATAAAATATTAAGTTTTCACAAAAAATTGAATTAAAAATATTTGGCTTGTAATTATTGTTCCTTTTTCAGGTTGGATTTGCCTGTAAAATGGCTTTAAAAAGAGTAGTACCTAGTTCAGAAAACTTATTATAAAAGAATTATGGTAATCAATTTCATTTTGCATGCACTTGAGGAAGAGCAAATTCAGAACAGCACAAATTATACCCAATTTAATCTATTGAAAAGTATAACAGTTGAGTACAAAGTGTCAAGTCTGCACAGTTATCTATTTAATTGTTTTAGATGCTACAAAGAGATTTCCTTTGTTGGAATTAGGGAGCCAAAGCAATAGCTAAGAATTGTTACCTAATTGTCCTCCCTTCCTATATTCAGTTTTCTGAAATAGAGAGGAATGTCTGAATCTACTGCTATTAGTAAGGAGAGAGAGAACATTGAAAGCAGACATCTTCCTTCTTGAATTATCCAACTAGCAATTTTCATAGATACCAGAGCCAAAAAATTAATAAATGGGAGACAGAGAAGAGCTAAGGGAAAGGAAGAAGGCTGTTGCAGGAAGGGATTTAGAGAAGTGGGAGAGTGAGAAGTCTTTGTAGTCCTTGTTCTAAGGCAATGCTCTGCCTATGCCACTTTAAAAAAAATCATTTTATTTCTAATCCAAGGAAATACACAAAGCTATGCCCGTGGATCTTGGAAAAAAATAAATAATACAAGCTCTAACAAACTGACCATTTCAATTGTATGCATATATACGGGTAAGCAGCTTGTTCACAACTTTGAAGTAATAAGTTCATATATTTCAAGTGTTCCACTTGCTATAAATATCCCACCAATGCCAAACTGCTCCTATTTTTGTTATATAATAAACCACCCACAGTGTTCCTGTATTTGAGTAAAAATTATATAAGTAAGCCAAAGATTTGGATAACCTACACACATTATTTGCTAACTGTGCAATTCTTATAACATAGCGAACTATATTATGAAATACAATTGTGTGTGTGTATGTGTGTATAAAAAGAGTGCTTCATATTACATTAAATCTAGGATTGTTTGTGAGATAGGTGTCATGCCAGAAATGTTAGTTATTAAAATTATTAACAATTTAAGCCATTTTCAACAAACTGTTTTTAGAAAGCTATTTTGACTTGTGAAATGCTTTAGTATTTCATTTTTGCCTAGAGTCAATATTGTAAACAATGTCAAAAGGCATCTGATTTTTTTGCTAATTACAGTGTAAAGGTAAAGTGTGTGAGGAGTAAGAAAAAAGGCTTTATCACTAAAATCTGACTCATAAGTTGATCGTGTTTCTCTGCCTTTACTTTCTGTTAGCCTCTGTTAGTGTGTGTGTGTGTGTGTGTGTGTGTGTGTGTGTGTGTGTGTGTGTGTAATCCACTTGACAAATATACATACTCATAATCCTCAAAAAACAAAGATTCTTTATGAAATCTCCTTTTCCACCATCTTGGATTAATTTTTGTTTTATCCAAGCATTATTCATTGTTTCTTTACTTAGTCAATATATTTTGCATCAGCATAGGCTTCCAGCTTCC